AAAAAAGGGGTAAGAAAAAGGCAGTGAATAAAACATAGTGTGAAGAGTTGGACAATAAACATGAGGAAGAGTATCTGAATTTTTAAATTGAAAACTGATGTGATATTAGATAAATACTCAAAAGAGTTTTAAATGTAAGAGTTTATCCTTTTCAAGACACGTACAACTCCTATTATATGTCCTGGATTGCAGGATAATGTGCTGAACTGCAAGGTCAGTTTGAACCACAAGGTTGGCGGTTCAAACCCAACAGCCGTCCTCAAAAACACTAAACAGGGTTGCTATGGGTCAGAACCCACTCAATGGTACTTAACAACAACATTATGTGTCCTGGTGTGGTGCCCTAGGATAGGCACTCTACCTCAAGGTCATTTTGAACCGCAAGGCCAGCAGTTCAAACTCATCAGCAGTTCCTGAGAAATACAAGGTCGCTATGAATCAGAATCAACTCCACAGCACTTAACAACAGTATGTACCAAGTGCTACACTTACACTTGAGTTAGGAAGTACTGCTGCTTTTAGATGTTGGCAAGTCCATTCAGACTCACAGTGACCCTATGCATAACAGAAGGATACATCTGGCCCTATGTCCTCCTCACAGCTGTTGTTATGTTTAAGCCCACTGTTGCTGCCACTCTGTCAATTCATTTTGTTGGGGGTCTTCCTTTTTTTTTTTTTTCTCAGCTTTACCAAGCATGATATCCTTTTCCTGAAACTGATCCTTCCTGATATGTCCAAAGAATGAGAGACAAAGTGTCATCATCCTGGCTGTATTTCTTCCATGTCAGATTGTTTGTTCTTCTGGCAGACCATGGTACTTCGAATGATTTCCTCTAACACCACACATCAAATGCACAGGTTCTTCTATGGTCTTTCTTATTCATTGTCATGCATACGAGACAATTGAAAATACTGTAGTTTCGGTCAGGTACACCTCAGTCCTCAAACTGAGATGTACTTTTGTTCTTTAACACTTTAAAGAGGTCTTTTGTGGCAGATTTACCTAATAAAATACAACATTTGATGCCTTGACTGCTGCTTCTCTGACTGGTAGTGGACCCAAGCAAAATTAAGTCTTTGACAACTTCAATCTTTTCTCCATTTATCATGGTATTGTTTTATTGGTCCAGTGGTGAGGATTTTTGTTTTCTTTACACTGAAGTGCAATCCATACTGAAGGCTGTAGTCTTTGATCTTCATCAGTAATTATTTTAAGTCCTCATTTTTCCAGACAGCAAGGTTGCATTATTTGCATATCACAGGTTGTTAATGAGTCTTCATCCAATCCTGATACCACATACTTCATATAATCTAGCTTCTCTGATTATATGCTCAGTATACAGATTAAATTAAGTTGACATACACTTTCTCTGATTTTAAACCACTCAGTATCCCCTTGTTCTGGTCAAATGATTGCCTCTTAATCTATGTACACTTTCCTCAAAAAAACAATTAATTGTTCTAGAATACCCATATGTTGCAGTATTATCCATAGTTTGTTATGATCTACACAGTCAAATGCCTTTGCATAGTCAATAAAGCACAAGTACACATTTTCTGGTATTCTCCGCTTTCAGCAATGATATCTCTAGTTCCACATCCCCTTATGAATTTGACTTGAATTTCGGGCAGCTCCATGTAGATGTAATACTGCACACATTTTCCACCTTTGGAATGGGCATAAATAGTGATGCCTTCCAATCAGTTGTCCAGGTAGTGAACATCTGTAGTGCTGCATGAGTTTTTCAGAACATTTCAAGTTGTATTCTATCAATTCCTGGAGCCTCGTTTTCACCCAATATCTTCAGTACAGCTTCGGTTTCTTCTATCAATACCATACGTTTTTTTGTTTGTTTGTTTGTTTGTTTTTATCATATGCTACCTCTTGAAATGGCTGAACCATTTCTTTTAGGCATTGTGACTCTGTGTATTCCTTCCATATTATTTTGATACTTTCTCCATAATTCAATATTTTGCCCATAGAATCCTTCAATATTGTAACTCAAAGTTTGAATTTTTTTCTTCAGAATTTTCAGCTTGAGAAATTCTGAGTGCATCCTTCCCTTTTGGTTTTCTAACTCCAGTTCTTTGCAAATTTCATTATAATACTTAACTCTGTCTTCTTAGGCTTCCCTTTGTAATTTCCTATTCTGCTTGTTTACTTCATTTCTTCCAGTCACTTTAGCTACTCTAAGCTCAAAAGTAAGCTTCAGAGTTTCTTCTGACATCCATTTTGGTCTTTTTTCCTTTCCTCTCTTTTTAATGACCTTTTGCTTTCTTCACATGTGATGTCCTTGATGTCATTCCACAGCTCTTTGGTCACTGGTGTCTAATGTATCAAATCTGCTCTTGAGTAGGTCTCTAAATTCAGGAGGAAGTCCTGGTGTTGCGCTGTGGTTAATGTACAGGACTGCAGGGTCAGTTTGAACCCCAAGGTCAGTGGTTCAAGCTCACCAGCCACTCCTCGGAAACCCTACATAGGGTCGCTATGAGTTGGAACCAACTCAATGACATTTAACAACAATACTGAAGGTCATATTTTGGCTCTCATGTACTTGTTTTCATTTTCTTCAGCTTCAGCCTGAACTTGGATATGAGCAAAGGATGAACTATTCCATAGTCAGGCACTGGCCCTGTTTTGGCTGCTGATACTGAGCTTCTCCACCACCTACCTCTTCCCACAGATGTAGTATTTCATTTGGTAATGTTCACATGCATAGTCACTTTTTACGTAGTTGAAATGAAGAATTCTTTGGTGTTGTAAAATTCAATAATGGGATCCCCAGCATCATTTCTATCACCATATTTCAACTATGAATCCTCCCTCTTTGTTTCCAACTTGTACATGTCAATCACCAGTAATTACCAATGCATCTTGGTTGTGTGTTTGATCAATTTCAGACTTAAGAAGTTGTTGCTGGTAAGTGCCATGGAATTATTTAGGGGTCACGGTGACTCACTATAGGGTTTCTGAGGCGGTACATCTTTATAGGAGCAGAAAGCCTCATCTTTCTCCTACAGAGAGGCTAGTGGTTCACAGTCAATGCTCTGTAGAATTCAATTTCATCCTCACTGGCTTCAGTGGTTAGTGCATACATTTGAATAGTAGTGGTATTAAGTGGTCTTCCTTGTAAACGCATGGCTGTTATCCTATCACAGACAGCACTGTATGTCAAAACAGATCCGAAAATGCTCTTCTTGACAATGAATGTGATGTACTTCTTCTTTATTTCTTGGGATAGTAAATTATGATTGTCTTGATTCAAATGGCCACTACCAGCCCATTTCAGCTCACTAATACTTAGGATGTAGATTTTTATGCGTTTCATTTCATTTTAGACTTCGAATTTCCCTAGATTTGTACTTCATATGTTCCATGTTCCTATTATTAATGAATGTTTAGTGCTGATTTTTCCCATTCTGAATTAGGACACACTCAGCCAATGAAGGGCTTTTTTTTCATTGATGCCATTAAGGTCAATTGTACTTTGGAAGCATACATTCCCTAAATCAAAAACTTCATGGCTGTGAGCTTATTTTTAGAATTGCTTCTGAGACTGTATGGAAAGGAACAGACCTGAGTATTTGACCAGCTTTGGAGAATGAGGTTTATTGATAAGAATTTGCTAATCTGAACATACAGGTTTTAACATTTTTAATATCATAAAAGAAAGACTAAAAAATGTCAGTAAATTGGTGCAATAGCATGGGTTATGCAGTAAGACTCACATGGATGATCCAAATCATACAGCCTTGCAGGTGATGAAGGACCATAAACAGGGTATGTAACCTAGGTAAGCATCTCTTTCCTCATGTGCAAGAGCTGTTACAGTGATTGAGACTATACGACAACAGACTGCTACATAGGAAAGTGCTGGTAAAAGGTATATATATTAAGTGGGAGCACTAGTCTCTTACTGAAGCACAAACAAATATTTATTCCTCAAGGTTAAAAATTTCAAAAGTATGACGTGCCAATGTAATCAGATTCTAGGTTATAGAACTCCTTTTATGTGTCTTCATAGGCGTATTCTTTCACCATACTTATTCAACCTGTATGTGAACAAATCATCCAAGAAGCTGGGTTATATGAAGAAAAACGTGGCATCAGGATTGGATGAAGACTTATTAACAACCTGCGATATGCAGATGATACAACCTTGTTTGCTGAAAGTGAAGAGGGCTTAAAATATTTACTGATGAAGATCAAAGAGCACAGCCTTCGATACAGATTGCATCTTAATGTAAAGAAAACAAAAATCCTCACCACTGAACCAATAAACAACATTCTTATCAATGGAGAAAAGATTGAAGTTGTCAAGGACTTCATTCTTCTTGAATCAACTATCAACACTCACGGAAGCAGCAGTCAAGAAATCAAACGACATATTGCCTTAGGCAAATCTGCTGCACAAGACCTTTTTTAAAGATGTCAGCTTGAGGACTAAGGTGCGCCTGACCCAACCCATGGTATTTTCAATAAGCTCATGTAAAAGTTGGACAGTGAATAAGGAATACCGTAGAATAATTGATACTTTTGAGTTATGGTGTTGGAGAAAGATACTGAAAGTGCCATGGGCTGCCAAAAGAACCAACAGATCCGTGTTGGAAGAAGCACAGTCAGAGTACTCTTTGGAGGCCAGGATGGCCAAACTTCATCTCTCATACTTCAGACATATTGTCAGGAGGGACCATTTGCTGGACAAGGATATCATGTTTGATAAGATGGAGGGTCAGAGAAGAAGAGGAAGACCCACAGCAAGACGGATTAGCAAAGTGGCAGCATTGATGGACTCAAGCATGGCAACAGCAGTGAGAATGGCCCAGGATTGGGCAGTGTTTCGTTCTGCTGTACATAAGGTCGCTATGGGTCGGTACTGACTCAATGGCACCTAACAACAACAACAAGAGGCATATTCGTTCTTGGGGCTGCTGTATATGTTATCTAAAAATATTTAAAAATAGACAAGAATAAAGTAGTTTGATATACTTTCACATACCACTGGCGGGAGTCCAAATGTTTTAGCTCTCTTAATAATTTGGAATTTTTCTTCAAGAGATGAAAGTTCTTCCTAGAAAGAAAAAAGCATGGAAGAAAAATCATGTGATCATAGACCCAATTTTGACCGTTTCTAATCAATCAATGAAAACTGACATGTTATCATCTATCTACACATTCATCATTCACTCAAGATTCATGATAGAAGCACACATAATGAAGTCCAGCCTCCTTAAGACATTCAAAAGCTTCAAAATTCCACTGTATCCCATGACTCTCCAGTGAAATTGGAGGATTCTACAGTCAAGGAACTTATGAGTGTGTGCCTGTTTTACTGTTAGTACTGAGAATCTCTTTTCCCCACTATGTCTTTAAAGTTCCACTCCAGTTCAAGTCCACCCTTTTCCAGGAAGTTGTCTCCATTGCCTCACCACTTACCCTTGGATTCAGTCATTACTTTTGCACTTATGTGTCACTACACTGCTCAGAAATGTTGTATTAAGTCTGTCTCCTTCATCAGAACTAAGATGAGAGTGTGGCTTGTTATGTGTATAGTCCATTAGCACATCATATGAAGGTACAAGCAATAATGGCCAATGTAGGATTTTTAAAAACCTCACAAAGTGCTTGCTCCTCTTTAAAGTATATAACCAAACCCACAAAACTTATTGCTGTCAAGTTGAGTCTGACTCAGAGACCATATAGGACCAATTAGAATTGTTACCTTTCCACTAGCAGCCCAATGCTTAACCAACCCACTGTGCCCCCAGGGTTATTTTAAACTAAAAGCAGATGTTTGGAATTCTACATGTGAACCAGTAAAGTATGATTAGTTTTATCCTTACCTTTAATTTAGCAGTGAAAAAAAAAAGCTGCAAAGGCTGACACAGAGAAATATTACCCATTTCTATTCTGTTTCCTCAGTCCCAAAGGACAATTGTGCAAAACCAACAACAAAATAATTGAAGAACTACAGTAAATTGTTACCTTCTGTCCCAAGAATTCATTCCCAAGTCATTGAGCAACAACCTGCAGAAATAGAAGGGTCCTTGTGGCTCCACTGGTGTGGGCTGACCTTGACAAGTGACTTTCATAGCAGAGTCAGAGTTACATCTCTGAACATACTCATCTTCCTGTGTGTCCTGGCGCAAAATGACCTCAATGATTTCCTTCTCTTGGTCCAGGCTCATTCCGTGTGGGGGTGGAGAAGGCTCATTTAGATTTAGTTGCGATGGTAGAAGACACTCAGGACTTGTGTGACCAATGTTTTCAAGTAATTTGTCAAGGACATCCTCTCCTTCTTCAACTTGAGAAAAGTCTTTCTGAGGTCTCACTGCCTGATGATGCCAGCTCGAAATCAGAAATGAAGGATTTCTTTCATTGGGAGAGAAGTAGCCTTCCAAAGGTCCATACAGAATTTTCCCGTCCCAAGAGTACTTTCCTGAGATATCCCTCATAATAACTCTCACATCAGAGAGAGCACCCACCCCGCGGTTGCCTGCAGGCCTTTCTGTGGGTATTTGAAGGTAGGATATAAGGGTGCTATCATTAAATACAAACAGCTGCAGGTTTGGGCTCCTGAAAACCTCTGAGGATAGCTCCGAGGAATCCACGTGGCTGTTGTCGTGGTTTTCGCTGATGAGGCTGTGTAGCATGGCAGGGCCCCCACTAAGGGGATAGTGCCCAAGGTGGTTCACCAGGTGGGCCATCACCATGCGAGCAGTCAGAGGAATCAGTTCCAAACTTCTTCTCTTTTTTTCTATAAACATCAATAAAGAAAAGTAAATAGTGGTAAAAGAAGAATAAAACTGAGTACCATCAGATTCCAATCTGAAACTTTAAAATAATTGTTTTTCTAGTCTAAGAAGTTTTTTAACTCTACTTTTCCTTTTGTCTAAGAGTAATTTAAATAGACTGTTTAAAGACCTAGCTTACATGACTATTTCATTCCAAAAGGAACATTTAAAAAATCCATAAAAATAACAAAACAAAAGAGAAACTTTCCAGTCCTTATAGAGTTTAAAAATGAAGCCAAGTTTCACAGGTGAATAGGACCACAGAGCTAGTCAAGGTAGACCTGATGAGGAAATGAATCAAACTTGTGATGGCTTAGGTATATTGGAAGCAATTTGCTAATAATCATTGTGACAATTTAAGTTTTGCATTTGCATTTCAAGTAGTAAAGAGAATGTGACATAGTAATAATTTAATACCTAGAAAGCCTTAAATTCATTTGATTAAATGCCTAGGTGTATAATTGATACAAAAATTTTAAAAACATACCCAAAGAGTTTGACAATAGTATGCATAGGTGGACCCTGCAACATGTCTCAGTTATAGAGGAGAGGCAGATAAATCTGTAAATATGGATTGATATGACTACTTTAGTTTATGAGGAATAAGGAAAATTTTAATCAAATTAATTTTTTAATGCACATTAATCTAAGAATGAGAATCTCTGGTAGCACAGTGCTTGTGAGTTGGGCTACAATTCTTAAGGTCAGCAGTTCGAAACTACGAGATGGGCTGTGACTGAAAGATGAGGCTTTCCATTCCCTTACACTTTGGAGTCCTGGTGTGGCACTGTGGGTTAATGCGGCAGACTGCAAAGCCATTTGAACTGCAAGGTTGATGGTTCAAGCTCATCAGCTGCTCTTTGGTAACCCTTTATAGGGTTGCTATGGGTCAGAACCGACTCAACTGCACTTAACAACAACAACAACAATGATCTAAGAACAAGTAACAATGAAGCTTTTCATTTTATAAAAAAGGTCACTATTTCTTTTCAATTAAAATTTAATTTAAGCATAATTTCTAGAAAACATTACATATCCAACACAATGACTCTGTTGTTAGATGCCATTGAGTTGGTTTTCACTCATAGCAACCCTACTTGCAATAGAACAAAACACTGCCCAGTCTCACATGATCCTCTAAATTGTTTAAGTCCACTATTGCTGACACTGTGTCAATCTATCTCAATGGCGTCTTCCTCTTTCTCCCTAACCCTCCACTTTACTTAATAAGCTTTATGTCCTTGGCTCCAGGGACTTGTCCCTCCTGACAAGATGTCCATTGTATATTTGGGAACATAAGAGAAGAAATCCTGCCATTCTCGTTTCTAAGGAACATTCTGATTGTACAGAACTGTTTGTTTTGGCAGTCCTTGGTGGTGGTGGTGTTAGTGCCATTGAGTTGGTTCTAACTTGTAGCGACTCAGCATAGGGTTTCCAAGGAGTAGCTGGTAGGTTTGAAGCAAAGACCTTGTAATTAGCAGTCCAGTGCTTATCCTACAATGTCAAACCGTATTTTGGGCAGTTCATGGAGTCCTGGTGTAGTGCTGTAGGATAAACACTAGGCTGGAAGGTCGATTTGAACTGCAAGGTTGGTAGTTCAAACTCACCAGTTGCTCCTTGAAAACCTTATATAGGGTCACTATGACTTGGAACTGACTAGATGGCACTTAACAACAACAACATGATACTTTCAATAATCTTTGCCAACACCATAATTCAAATACATTGATTCTTCTCTGGTCTTCCTCATTCAAGGTCCAGTGTTTACATGCATATGAGGCTATTGGAAAGACCATGGCATGGGTCAGGCCCACCTTATTCCTCAAAGTAATATCTTTCCTCTTCAATATTTTAAAGAGGTATTTTGTGGCAGACTTTCCTAATGCAATAATACATCATTTAATTTCTTGACTACTGCTTCTATGAAACTTGATTGGGGATCCAAGCAAAATGAAGCCTCTGACAACTTTAATCTTTTCTCCATGACAACTTCAATCTATTCTTCATTTATCATAATGTTATTTACTGGTTCAGTTGTGAGGATTTTTGTTTTCTTCACATTGACGTGCAATCCATACCAAAGGCTGTGGTCTTTGATCTTCATCAGTATGTACTTCAAGTACTCTTGGCTTCCTACAAGCAAGGCTGTGTGTCTTCATATTGCAGGTTGTTAATGATTCTTCTCTTATCCTGATGCCAGGATCTCTTTCATATGATCCAATTTCTCAGATTATATGCTCAGCATACAGATTGAGTAAGTATGGTGAAAGGATACAACACTGACACACACATTTCCTGATTGTAACACTTCAGGATCCCCTTGTTTGTCTCTGATGAGTGCCTCGTCTTCTATGTACTGGTTCCTTATGAGCAAATTATGTCTTCTGGAATATTCTCAGAATGTTATCCACAGTTCATTGTTGAAAATACAAACTAAGAAGGAATACAAAGTTATGGATAATTTTGTTCTCATTTATTATATAAAATTTCTTAGATTTGAGGATTTGAGTATTTTCTTCTAGGATTTATGCATCATAAAATTGATTTGTTATAAGTGAAGCATTGAATTTTTTATATCAAAGGAGAGTGCATAGTATGGAAAAAGTATGTTTACAAGTATTTGTTTTAATATACTTTTTATGTTATGTATTTTGAAACAAATTATTTCTTAAACATTTAGCTCAAAGTATACTATTTTAGAATTTATGTGATTTTCACCACTGTCAATAAACTTGACTTCAATACACATAAACAAAACCCTACCAGTGCATATTGATAATTCTCCTGACTAGACAATATGTTAGACCATAAAGCAAACCTCAATAAATTTAAAAACATGGAATTAATAAAAGTTTCCTTTTTGAATCACAACATTCTAAAATTAGAGTTAGAAGACCAAAAGGAAAGAACACCATCAGCATTTCTCAAGCTGTAAGAGCTGAAGAAAAAAAAACTCAAGCTTTTTGTGAAGTAAACATAAATTTATACTTTATGAAAGTGGGAAATTTACCTAGAATTGTATAATCGAATCATCAACCATGACACACCCAATAAAAATCTAAAATATCTTTGTTACTGAAAAAGGAAAATAAGAATTTGTGAATTAATTATTAATTGGTCTTCCCTGTCAAGCTTCTGTAAATCAATTGTTTATGGTGTCCAAAATAAATTCCAAATTATCTTTTGTCTCAATTTGGAGATGAATATAGAAGCAGTGATTTTAGATTTTCCTTTACCTTTTATTTTTAAAGCTCCCTTCTAAGAAATCAGGCACTTACTATGAATTAGAAATCTTAGCAAAATGTGTGCTCTCAATGGCCTTTCTCAGAAGAGGGCAGGCAACCCCTCAACTGTTGGTAGTTCTTTCTCCTTATGTAATTTTACATAAAAGTAATAATTATATAAAGGGACCCCAAAAAGTTCATGGAAACATTCTATTATTTTTTAATTCCATTTCCATGAACTTTTTGAAGCTCCCTCATATCAAAAGTAGGTAATGGTTTATGAAGAAATCATTTGAGAATAACACATAAAATTACAGTATTGCTTAATCAGAAAGGTTACCTGACACTGAGTGTAAAAAAAGACCCCAAAAGATCTAAGCTATCATCTTCATTTTTCTGACAGTCTCTTCAACAAAAGATGCTAGCAAAACTGGATATACATTTTTAGAAGAATGAAACAAGATCCATACCTCACACCATATACACAACAAATTCAACATGAATTAAAGAACTAAATATAAAACCTAGGAGTTTAAAGATCATCATTGAAAACATAGGGACAAATTTCGAATCAGGCTGCGAACCTTAAGGTTAGCAGTTTGAAACTACCAGCCACTCCGCGGGAGAAAGATGAGGCTTTCTACTCCCGTAAAGATTTACACCCTCGGAAACCCTGTACAGGGTCGCTATGGGTTGGAACTGACTCGACGGCACTTAACAACAACAACAACAACAATACTTAGCATAAGGAGCTCTGGTAGCATAGTGGTTACAAATCGGGCTGTGAACTACAAGGTTAGCAGTTTGAAACTACCAGCTGTTCTGTGGGAGAAAGATGAGGCTTTCTGCTCCTGTACAGATTTACAGCCTTGGAAACCCTGTACAGGGTTGCTATGAGTTGGAACCAACTCCACGGCACATAACAACAACAACAACAATACTTAGCATGGAGTCCTGGTATGGCACTGTGGGTTAATGCGCCAGACTGCAAAGCCATTTGAACTGCAAGGTTGGCAGTTCAAGCTCACCAGCTGCTCCATGGAAACCCTATACAGGGTGGCTATGGGTTGGAATCAACTCAATGGCACTTAACAATAACAATAATACTTAACAAACTGATTGATATTGACTTAAAATATTTATTGATGAAGATCAAAGAACAGAGGCTTCAGTATGGATTGCACCTCAATGTAAAGAAAAAAAACCTCTCACCACTGTATCAGTAAATAACATATATATTAAATGGAAAAAAGATTGATGTTTCACTGACTTCATTTTGCTTGGATCAACCATCAACATTCATGGAAGCAGTAGTCAAAAGATCAAACGATGTATTGCATTTGGAAAATCTGCTGCACAAAACCTCTTTAAAACTGTTGAGGAGCAAAGAGGTCAATTTGAGGACTGAGGTGTGCATGACCCAAACCATGGTATTATCAACAACATCATATGCATGAGAAAGTTGAACAGTGAATAAGGAAGACCATAGAAGGATTGATGTATTTGAGTTAAGGTTTTGGAGACTATTGAAAGTACCATGGACTGCCAAAAGAACAAACAGGTCTGTGTTGGAAGAAGTACAACCAGAATGCTCCTTGGAAGGCAGAATGAACAGACTTTGTCTCTCATATTGTCAGGAGCAACTTGTCTCTGGAAAAGGATATCATGTTTGGTAAGGTGGAGCATAGTAGATAAACAGGAAGACCCCTAAGGAGATGGATTGGCACAGTGGCGGCAGC